TATTATCAACAATAGCAGCAATGATAGAAAAATCATCACTGTGTGAAGGAAGAGGAAGAGGAGATATAAGATGAGAGTTTCTGACAAGAAGGCACACACCGCCATACCCATCAGCCCTGTCATTCCTTAAACAGGAATAGCCAGGGATTTTAAATGTATAGTTCGACTTAAGCCAGGTTTCAGATAAAGAAAGAATAAAAGGTTTAAAAGTATTTACAATATGTACAAGTTCATGTTTTTTACTTATGATACTTCTGCAATTCCATTGAACTATCCTGTCCATTATGACTATTATTATTATTATTAGGGTTGAATAAAGTAGCAGCGTTGGTCGGTATGGTTAAATTTGATTGAGATAACACATAAAACACATAAACACATAAAAACACGTTTAGGTAATACTTGGCCGTCAAATGTCAATACAACTGTTTAGGAGGGTTTCCAAGTTGGTTCATTATTTACAAATTACCTTATAATTTAAACGACTGACTTTAATTATATCACCACATCCCATAGGCACATTAGTATTTTCCTTAATATCTTCGGGAGACCACTTAGTTGGAACTCCCCTTACTAATCCCATTCCGGTAATATTAAAGGTGGGTATATATGCTTTCAACCTATTTTCAGATAAACAATTCGACTGGAGAAAGCTGTTGGCGTCTAAATAATTATGAAAAGAAAGATACATTTTGTTTCTTCCTATCCTTTTCAAACTGCCATTTACAATTTTTTTAAAAGCATTTTTTTAAAAACCTACCGAACACAATAGGATGCAGATTGGTGCCGTCGTCTTCCGCAGACTGTATTTTATAAACATCCACAATGTAAGGGCCATGATCATTGCAATCATAACTAGTCCTGCCTATTTGTGTGGGAGCTTGGGAAGGAGAATTAACGTTATCGGGAGTAGAAGATGGTAAATTATTCATGGGGACCTTTTTAAACTAATCATTACAATGACAATCAGTGTTTTTGAATGCATCATTATTATGTTTCCTTTTCCTCTTATTACATTGCTTGCATATCCTATGAAGATAATTCCGTTTTAATTTTCGTTTGGATACAGACGAATAGTCGGAATCCATTCCAGATTCGTTTGAAATTGTAACAAATGGTCCCACAGGGAGCACTGTGCCCCCTGGGTCTGGCGGCTCGTTCATAAAAGTATTCAGAAAAAACTTACCCTACGTAGAAAAGACAAATAATAAATATAGGAATAACACTAATCTAAAATTCACAACTTAGAACTATTCTGATTACTAATTACAATAAATCTACAATTTAATTTGAAAAATAATTTAAAAACCGCGCCCGCCAAGTTCGAAGGTTTCCCGCGCTTTTTCGTCTGATTTTTTATTAGACGAAGTCAACTGACGTTTACTGTGTTGTCAGTTTTTGATGAAATAAAAATAGTGTTGTGACAAAGTGAACGATTGAAAAAACTCCTGAATTAATGAAATTGCCTCGATTGTCTAGTGAATAGTCGGTGTGCCGAATTGCCGATATCGGGTACGGGGTTCGAATTTTAGGCGTGCTTTGTACATACCAACGACTTTTCGACGAAATATTATGTTCCTATAGTATCTACCTGTACCGAATATCGAGTGTTTTAAACATTAAGAAAAACATTGCGAGGAAGCTTGTAAGACTGTCCTATTTCCAATAAATCATATAGTTGAAACTATAGATGTATAAAATATAACAATTATTGGTAGTGGTAATTATAGGTATATTGAAGTCGTCGTGGCCTAAAGGATAATACGTCCGGTGCATTCGTATGAAGCGATGCACCGGTGTTCGAATCCCGCAGGCGGGTACCAATTTTTCTAATGAAATACGTACTCAACAAATGTTCACGATTGGCTTCCACGGTGAAGGAATAACATCGTGTAATAAAAATCAAACCCGCAAAATTATAATTTGCGTAATCACTGGTGGTAGGACCTCTTGGGAGTCCGCACGGGTAGGTACCACCACCCACCCTGCCTATTTCCGCCGTGAAGCAGTAATGCTTTTCGGTTCGAAGGGTGGGGTAGCCGTCGTAACTATACTGAGACCTTAGAACTTATATCTCGAGGTGGGTGGCGCATTTACGTTGTAGGTGTATGGGCTCCAGTAACCACTTAACATCAGGTGGGCTGTGAGCTCGTCCATCCATCTAAGCAATAAAAAAAAAAAAAGGTAGGTAATGAAAATAAAAAAAAACTGATTGTAGTTACATACTACTAGTAACATATATTGGAGCACTTTAATACAATTTTATTGTAAAATATAAATTATATTCTTTTATAATTTGAAATTAATGATTAACTCTTCACACTCATTGTTCATTCATGTGATTGAACGAGAACTGAACGCATCACTATTACTTTAAATCATAGACCTATATAGTAGGGACACAACATGTTGTTCTATACGTACAATTGCTTATATAAATAGCACCCATTTTGAAGGCACACACATAAACATATATCTATCTCGTTCTTACTCAGCACTTTAACTCGCAGGAAAACAATATAACAGTATTTCAGTGCGTACATAAAATTAAACATGAATATACGTAAATATCTCCATCTCCGTCTAATGAGGCCGAAAATCCGCCATGTTGAGCGCACCAAATGTCATTGTCACGTCAGTTCGGCCGTCTGTTTTGGGTTGTACATTAATTATTGACTTTGATATCGATTTAATATGATTGCTTATATAAAATTTCAAAATTTATCATGCTTAGAACATACAAAAATAATAATTAAAACGTATTTTATATGATCTCAAGAAAGTCGATGCCCCAAAACTATTATCTATATATATTTAAATTCATTTTGGAGCCCTCATCATTCTTCGGTCGGAATCTATTGATCATGACACTAATCACAAATACCTCTTTAAAATATGTCATCAAAACATATTTAGACATTCTGTTCAGATATTTCGGGAAAAAGGCTACCTACAAAATCTCTTCGGAACTATTTAAATAAAATAGTTTTATTCCGCAGTGAGTAAAAAAACACTATTGTAAATTCGTTAAATATTTAATAATTACGTGATTTTAGAGAGGAAGTCACAAGGAATGACGTTTTTAATAATGAAGAAATGTTCTGTAGGTGTTTTTTTTTTCACGCGGTCCCTTGATAAGTTTAAAATTTGAATCACTCTCAAGTGAAAGTAATTCAAATGGTGCGGCGCACCTTCCTTGGGGTTCGCTGCGGTAGTGGTTACGGACTTTAGAGTCAGCAAAACAATTAAAATAGATTGTAATAGTCTAAGAAAAACACGTACTCAAAATACGATAACATTTAGCATGCTAGAAATGGGCAGATGGCACTGTACTACGCTATATCTTGATGTTTTGCGACAAACGACAACTTTATAAAATCAGTGTAGCAACTTTTAAAAATCATCATATCGCTTACTTGGCAAATTCGAAGGACGAACTTGTCTTAGATTTCACCCATCTAAATCATATCATATTTGCACAAAACAATATACCTACTTACTTCCCATTAAAGTATAAATTCTACAAATAAATAATACTCAACAATATTTAAAATAAAATGAGCCAAGAACGTTTATCGATAAAACCTGATAACATTGAAATCTTTTGTACAGCACTAAAACCGCCATGTTTTGTGGTCAGATGACGTCACAGTGGTACGAATTTTTGGTTGAAGTTTCATTTCCATAGGTTTCCTACTTTAGTGCTTTAAATATAGCAACATTATTTCACAAAGTGACATTAGCTGCTGTCAGCTGGCTTCGTCTAAATAAAAATCCGACTATAGCTGGGCCAAGTGTGGAAGGATTGTCTCCACGATTTAATTGTGATAAGGTACATTTCTACATATTAAAAGTAATAATATGAATACCTACTTCAATATTTTGAGTATTCTAAAGACTCTTTACATTTTTAATCCTTATCTGATTTTAAGCAAACTTTGCATTAATTATATACTGGGCTTAATATAGATTAATCAACTATAACTATGAAAAACTAAATGTAACTAGGCCAAGGTACTACAAAGTATTTTCTCAATCAATGTTTATTATTTATCACATGTTTTTTTTTAGATACCAGAATGTAAAGAAACAATTATAAAACTTCCAGTGAGTAGTGAAGTAGAAGATAATCATAGCAAGAAAAGTACCGGTCTACCTACTGATGACTGCAGTGTGAACATGGTTGGTTTAATAATTATTTGTTATTTATTTAAACTTCTAATTACAAATAAAACTTAAAATAAATTAAATACTGAAAATAAACTACAAATTAAAATTAATATAGATAATCTGGTGCAAGACTACCGGGTAAGATGTTTCTAAAATACATGCATGTACATTCCCTATTTGAATGGCAATATTAATGCTATTTTGTACACGTATTATTTTCTATGAATTAATATACTAATATCCCATAAATATCTCACTGCTGGCCTTGAGCTTCCCATTCATGAGAATGGACAATATACCCATAATCTGTCCCAAGTCAAAATTATAATGACATTTGCTTAATTTTAGATGGACAAATTTAAGTTACACATCCAAGACACACCTCCAGTTTCTACCAGTTATTCAGAACGTACCCTCAATCGCTTTATTGTGAAAAAGAAACGGTCAACACCGTTACGAAGAAATCTAGAGAGTTTCAAGAACACAATGGAAAATTATGGTGATTTGTCACAAAAGAAAAAGCAAAACAAGACAAAATAGAACATGAATTGAGATGTGACTTGCTAATGTTGGAAATATTGTTGAAGAAAAAGGAATTAAATAGATAAAAAATAAACACTATGTAAAAGTTGTTTTATTTGTAAAACTATTACAATAATTAAACTATTTTAGTTTTTAAAATGCAAGATCTGTTTATTTGATGTAACATACTAAAATGACTATTTATTAACAATTGTGTTTTTAAATGATTGTTGTTATCCCTATTTCCGTTATCAATATTTATTGGGTGGCTAGACAAATCTATTGAATTTTGTATTTCTATATCCATGCTTGGAATTCCATCTCCGTTATTTATGCATATATTATGCAAAATGTACAGGCAACAATAATGTCTTGTACTAACTCTAGATTTACTCTCATACCAATTGATAACACAGGAAAGCGTCTTTTCCATATCCCAAAGCGCCTTTCTATACAACTTCTAGTGCGAATATGAGACTCATTGTTTGTTGTTGAACTAACTGAGTGGACTGTAGGTTTTGTGGTTCTTGTGAAATATAAAGACTTTATCACTATTACTGGGTGTTTATTGATATTTATAGAAAGTACAAAGGTTTTTACAGGCACAGCGATGGAAGCGAATTTTGTGAATGAAAATTATGACTGGTTTAAGACCTAGTGAATGATTTAGAATGAATGACATTAATGTAGGTTTGCTACACTCATTATAAAGTTTTTCTGCTGATGTCACTGGATTCTGAAGTGGTGTTCATAAATAGTTTTTCAGTTCATATCCAGCATCACCAAGAAGAATATTTTGTCCTATTTGTCCTGATTCGAAAACAGCACACAAACGACTGTTACTAAAAATAGTACTGTCATGACTAGCACCAGGCCACCTAGCATGCAACATCCAAAAAATTTAAGTTGGATGTACATACTGCTTGGACATTTGATGAAAAGTATCCCTTCCTATTTCTATAATTTTGCCCTCCTGGGGATTGTAAACGAATATGTGTATAGTCTAGAGCACCATATACACAAAGAAATCTAGCAATAGAATAAAAGCCAGTTTGATTTTGTTGTTGTTTAATTGGAGAAAGATGAAGTTTAAGATGGTTAAATCTGTTGGCTGCAATAACTTTTGTTACTCTTTTAATTGTTTTTCCTGCTGTAGTTTGATGAACTCCACTGAAATCTCCAGCTGTTATTTGCATACTTCCAGTTGCATAGAATCTAAGCGTAAGCAGGAGTTGGTTCATTGGGGACAATGCATTGTTCCTGAAATAATATAGTCTGTCAGTATAGTCTGTAATATAATGAGTTAATTATGACATGTAATTAAAAACATGCAATGAAATACAGAAATATACAACAAAATTATATAGCCTGTGTGTTACGAGGGCTGCACTAAAAGTATCGGGAATGGAATATTTCCACTGCTCCTGTCATATTAAAATATTTTTAATTGAAAACTCCTTGGTTTTAAAAATCGAATACCATTTATTTATTTAAAAAAAGATTCTCGGTCTTGTCACGACGTTTTGTCAAACTTGTTTAGTCGTTGAGAAAATGGAATTGACTCGAGAAAATTCAAGAGAGATGATTTATTATGACTTTCGAAGTGGTTTAACACAAAAACAGTGTGTTGACCGGATGATTTCTGCATTTGGTGATGAAGCCCCATCCAAAACCACAATTTATCACTGGTTTGCTGAGTTTCAACGTGGACGTGTCAAGCTCAGTGATGATCCCCGTCAAGGTCGTCCAAAAACTGCAGTCACCCAAGAAAAAACTGCAGTCACCCAAGAAAACGTTGATGCTGTGCGTAAGCTGATTGAGGAAGATCGACATGTGACATACCGCGAAATTTAGGCAACTTTAGACATTGGCATGAGTCAAATACAAATAATCTTGCATGAACAATTAGGTGTAAAAAAGTTGTTTTCCCGATGGATACCGCATTCGCTCTGTGAAGAGCAAAAAGCG